GACTGACACTTTGAGCATGCCAACAGAATGTAGTGCATATACTTCTGTGGGAGCGGTGTGCCGATCGATCACGCCCCGCCTTTGTCCGTGTGGCACCTATTCATCTTTCTGCTAGGAGCGTGTGCCGATCGATGACAGTCCACCCGCTTCTCCCGCTTGTTGCGTTTCGTGTTTTTTCGTCTTTACTACGGCAGAGCTCTCTCAAGAAGAGCGAGTGGGAGACCACGCCCGAGGGTTACCGTGACCCTGCCAACGCGTCCAAGCTCCCGGGTTCCGAGATGGACAACCGCGTTGTCGAGGAGATTGCGGGCGCCGCCCTTAACGCGTGATGATGACGACGATGCGTCGTTCACTCGTGGTTGTTGTCGTTGTTGTTTTGATTATGATCGTCGTCGGGATTTGTTGCTACTTGTCTTGGGGGGGGGGCGTTGTTCGTTTTTTGCATTCCTCTCGTTATCGTGGGTTTTGGGGGGTGGGGGCGGGGGCGGGGGCGGGGGATTTTGAGGGGGAGAGCAGGTTGAGGTTTCTCTGCCGCGGCGGTAGGTATGCCCAGCCTGTTGAGAGAAGGGGTCACTGATTGTTGGAGTAGTTTTGCTGCTATCCATCCATCCTCTCCAGGAACTGGCCCTCTTGTGGCCGATTTAGTGACTTTATGGCCGACCACCCTCTTGTCTTCCGTAGAAAATGTAGGAATCCTTGACGTCCACTCGGACTGACGGAATGGTGCATGACTTCCGCCTCCCGCCCTCGAGAAGAAGGGGGCGACAAAACGTGCCCGCTACATTACTGCACCCGGGTTACTGGTTAGGCACAAGTGGTCGGGTTTGCATGGAGGAGGGTTCGGGGTTGTATCCCGATTTTGGAGTTGTTGCATCTCTCCAAGGAGAGAAAGAGTTACGGTCGCAGCTGTATGTTGCTGGCCGGTGGACGGCTAAGGATGCATGCCGGAGGATACAGCAGGGACGCATGATGAGGAGCTACGATACCACTACTAAATTAGAGGGAGGGCTAGAAGTGTTTTGCTAAATATCGGCTTGTAGGAGGCGGGGGTTGGTGGAGGGAGGTATGCGGCTGTAGACGCGTGCAGCAGGGGGGGGGGAACTTTTTTTACGCGCTTGTGCTGTAAATGTGGGCCTGGGCGCAGAAGATGATGACATGACTAGGAAGACGGGAGGCGTGCTACGCCGACTTTTTCCGGGGCATTTTTCGCGTTAGAGGCGGACACAGGCAGCAGTAGTGATGGCGTTCTGGTCCTTGTCCAGGTGGGGGGGCACAAAGGCGCGCGACGATACGTGTGCTTTTCCGGTCAGGGGTGTCGTGCGCGATGATGATGATGAGAAGGAGGAGGAGGATGAGCAATCTCTGGACGCAGAATGGATTGTTGCCTCCGAACCACA